GCCTGAGTGAATGTCTGGAGGTGTAGGCACCTCGGAATGATTGTGTTAAGCTAGCACTAAGTCACTTCCCTGTCCACCTTTACTCTTTTCTTTTCAATAAGCTTTCAAATAAATCCTGGTTGTACGGCCCTGAAGCATTAGTGTAGAACACCGATGTCATGCTGTCGATGATGATGAGATACAGTACTCGAAGCATTATTCGCAATTCTAGAAAGTAGGCATGGACACACCATGTTCCATAGTAACTGACAAATCTATGTTGGAAAAATTGTGACAGTTGTCGGTAGAATGAGGTTTTGGAGTTTTCCAATTGAGATATCACCCTACGCTGAAAAGAGGAGAAGCAAATGCTTCATACCCATTGGGAATCATCGGTCGTACGCATTCCTGCGAACTCCAGGGAGTTTCGAGCCGCAACCTCCCGGTTGCTAGTTTGAGCACCACGAGCTGCTCAACCACGAGTTGCTGATCGGTAGTGATTGATTCGCATTCACAATTCGGCAACACTCATTCTTGGATCAGATGGAAGTTTCCCTGGCCGTGTGAATTTTTCCTTCGTCAGAGTATCACTAAATTCCATCCTACTATGAACGAGAGATTCGTCTGGGTCTCCCGACCACACCGGACCTATCTACAATTCGCCGGAAACGCGGGAACTGCGCCCAAGATGGGTAAAAAGGCAGCTTTGTAAGTTTCGGATCAATAAGAGAAATCGATCTTCACAGTCTCACCTTTAATTGTAACCGACCCTGCCTGTGGTTGTAAGGAAGTGATTTTGCTGTGTCAGAACGACACACTCAGCCTGCTAGTTTGCACACTTCAAGCAATAAAACGCACATTTGTGCACCACAAACTCTATACCGTCGTTAACATAACGCAACAACCTCGTTTTTGAGCAAATAAAAGTATGACAACTCTGTTGGAGTTGCGTGACACAGGGTAAATGACGGAACTAACAACCAACCTAATGAAGCGGCACTTAAAACAGGTAGCGTTCGGAGTCTGATACTGACGACTGGTCGCACACGGCTCAGAATCCTACACTGCTTTTTGCCAACTGAGTACACCACTAGGTAAAGCAAGATATTCCAGGATTTCTAGTACACGTCCTCATCAATCGTTACGCACCGAAGAAGACGGATATTCAGTCTCTATAATCAAGATGCTCGGTACGTGTTTTCTAATAAACAAATCTGCAGCGAAGGCCCTCCTCTTTTCACCAGTAGGAACACTCGTCCACCAACGGGCAGTTGATCAGTAGTGTGATGACAGAATATAGAGCCACCCTTCGTTCAAATGACGGGGAATACATCACATGGTCACGTACTAACGGACTCCCCGAGTGACTACAGATAAACACATGGGTCATCTGGGACAGGCTTACCATCCGTCTTCTTAGCCATAGTTGTCATCTGCAACACGGTGTTTCGACCAGCTTCCATTGTTGACGGCGCAAACGGCTGCAGAGAAACAATGCGAATAACAAGCAAAACGCCTGGGACTCAACCTTCCTTCTAGCGGTCCGTCCATAACTGGGTTTCCTTGCCAAAAAACAGACTTTTTTCCAACCTAACCCGAATTTTGTTCCTCTTTTCTGACTTATTCCTGGGAAGATCCTATTGGTGAACGCCAACATCCAGCCACCTTTACGCATGTTGATTAATGTCCCGTATGATAAAGCTCGTGCGAGTGCTCTGACCCTCTGACACAAACCACCGCATAGGTCTCGCTCCAGTCGGTTGACCTCCTAGGCCACAGTCAACTAACCATGGTTTCAGTTTATCCGTAATGTACTGCTCATAAGGTTGCTGGAAATTCGTCGACAGCCCACGACCAGTTTTGCCCCTCTTGGGGCTCATCAGGTAGGAGCAGTCCCCGAGTTTTCGTCAACCTTACGTTTTCTTGAAACCAAATTGCACGAAATTAGCGAATAGACACTCATTTGCAAACTAATTTGGTTTTGCGAGAGACTCACCTGGAACCCAGCTTAATCTCTCACTTGTGATGTTTCCAGGCAACTGAATGTGCTGCACCAGGCCGCTTCATGTTTAATTCGCTACGATATTCGAGATATCGCGATACATGTACACTCATAAAGTTGTCATAGGTTTGTCGCACTGTTGTTCTCAGAGGACGCTCCATGTTTAAAGCAATCGATTGTTGTTGAACCAAGCCTATATTTAAAAAAAATGAAAAAAGATGTTCTCCTTGCTGGTAGCTACGAGCAACTGGCCGGGCAACAGCCTCACTGATGCCTACTGGGGACCCCCTATTTTGAGGGTTTATACACCGGTCCACGTGACCCCCAAAACGCACCATCCTAGTCGTACTTGGGAGGATTCTCGGTGCGGCTAAATTAATTAAATATACCCATTTGGCAGCTAAGCAGAAACGACCGTGTACAGTGATGCAATTCGAAACCATCAACATGATACATCTGTTCGGGGGGAGGTGACAAGGGTGTGAACGGAATGCGCGTACAAAAGAACCAAAAAACGGCAAACATGAAGGGATGATTCGAAAGTAGAGAGAAAAGAGCAAAATAACAGCGGAAAAATAGCGCGTTGGGCGATGGAACATGGTAAGGGCGTTCGAAATCCTCATGGAGCACTGAGCAGTGAGTCTGGTTCAACCGAAGAGGCGCCTGGATGGTGTTTATTTCTAGAGCTGCGTCGGCTAAGAAAGCGCCGCAGTTTGGAGCGGTCGTGAGAGGTTGATCGAAACTCGGCCCGTTCTACTAACCAAATGGAGATGGAAGACGGGATACGGCTTAAAATCCGAGCGATACACGAGATAAGAGTTGACAAACTTTAGAGCAGTAGACGCGCGACAGCAAAACAAAGCATCAATACTAATAATTCGTCTAACAACAGATTAAAATCAAACGCAGGGATGGACAGAGGCCCAATCCCAGACGCCGAGGTTTCATTGAATCCCGCGTTCCTCGGTGGATACTCTAGGGCATTTATTTCCTCGGGATATTCCAATCCGGATTGGGAAGGCCAGAGCAGCTTTTGTGAATCAACGTCACCTGTGGCGTAAGCGTAACATCCGCTTCTCTGTCAATGGTCGAGTTTACAATGCAGCGGTGCGCTCCATATTACTCTATGGATCAGAAACTTGGCCGCTGCGCACCGAGGACGTCAAAAGACTTTCAGTGTTTGACCATCGATGTCTTCGGAGCATTGCCCGAATCTGGTGGGAACACCGGATCAGCAATTCTGAAGTACGTCGAATGGTATTCGGAAGAAATAACTCAGCCTCGATAGATGAACTGATCACACTGCATAGGTTGTGCTGGCTTGGCAACGTGTTGCGTATGCCAGTCGACCGACTTCCTTGAAGAGCTATTTTTGCACAACCACGTGAAGGGTGGAAGAGAGCCCGAGGCGGTCAAACAATGACTTGGCAGCGAAGTGTGAAAGTCATTACCAGCAAACTTAGCTGTGCTAGTCACTGTCGTCTTCCTGGATGGGGACCCCGAGACGGGCACATCAACGGCTAGAGACATTGTCAGATATGGCCCAGTCGCGCCTTCAATGGCGCTCGTGCATCCAACCTATTGCCTTCAATGCATGGCTGCTTTTCCACCCCGCCCCCCCCCACTTGAAAACCCACTGACAATGCTGGATTTATGCACCAATTTATCAGCTCCCGCCTGCAATGCGCAGCTACCTACGCCTCCCGCCCCCCAAAAAAAAATCATCGATGAACGAAACTGCGGCAGCTACAACCACTGTACGACGAGTACGCAGTTATCACAGCTGACAATGATGATGATGATGATGATTCCAATCTGTCTGCAAGCAACGTTCCGTCCGTCAATTTTGTACTGGTTTGTTCATTTGGCTTCGGCCCTACCACGGTATGGTAGTTGGGCTCCAGTGTGTAACATCTTTTCGGTGCCTAGCTCCCATCAAAGGTGTATTACTTTCAGCAATGATGGTGGTGCGCCGGAGACAAACGAAACAAAGACTCACGCTGCTATCACAAACTGGTCCTGTCTTGGAACATAAACATGCAGAATGCCATGCCACAGTTTCTCCGACATACCGAGTCACGCATCTGGTCAACATAGGATGGCTATCGAAAACTGTCCTTGCAGTTGCCGTCTTTTGGAACTTATTCGATGAAGTCGTATATACAGACTTTAAGATTGGAGCCTCAGGCAACCCGATCACGGCTGTGAGAAGGTGTTCACAACTGCTTACATGTCTGGATGAAATATATAGATTGTTGAGGCGTGGTACGTTGAACAAATCAGATAAGCTCCATGTGATGGAACACCACATGAGCTTTGCGAAACTGTCACGGGCTTGGACAAACATCGAGAGGTGATTTGACGTGTTCGGAAAAAAGTGGACTTCACACTGAGTTTGTTAATCCTAAGGACATACGTATTCTTTGAGACGCGACGTGCGGAGTGAGCCAACGAAAACAGGCGAGAGGGCGCATGGTTGCCATGCCGGTCAAACGCAAAGAATGGTTGATTCAGAATGCACGCTCAAGGGCACCTCGTACTCAAGTTATCACCGGAAATCTCGGGTCGACCAATTGTCATTGATTCCAATGCTTTTTAGGGAAAGGGTGCAAAGACTCGAAAAAACCGCAGATACATCGGGTCTTTCGTCCCATACATGGAGGGATCAGCCCAGTGACATCTTGTTCGAAAGTTTCAGACTGTTTAGAACTAATCAACGTCCTGAATCCTTTTGTCCCACTGTTTATAAGCCTGATTTTGTGGACACATTTGAAGTTTTCAGTTGACTTCGTCCGGTGAGTCAAGCTAATTTCTAATGGAAAACCGAGCACTGTACAGCTGTTTCGTTCAGCGGTGCGTATCTCAGGGTACTCAGGGAGTTTCGAATCCACGACCTTCCGACTAGTGGTTCGGCTTCGAGCGGCTGAGCAGCAGTGTGTTTAGCTCTCAGTTAGACAGGATATAGCAGCACTCATTCTCCATTCATGGAAACCACATCACGTGATCACGTATTGACTAGCTACTCGTCAGATGGAAACAGTTTGATTTGATATTTACTGTGAACAGAACCCACAACCAGGACCGGTTGACTTGGGTTTGTCAAACGTACATCTTGACGTAACCAAAGTAATCAATGAGTACACACGAAGGAGTCACATGTGTTCACATCGAACTTACCATGTCTGGTCAGTTTTTCTGCTGAGTCCTGAAGACAAGAAAAATACTGCATGAGTCAGGTGAAAATTAGCACTTCACAAGGAGTGGTGTTTTGGTCCCCATATAAACAGAGGGATGAAGGATCAAGAAACTTTTTGTGGCACGACGCGGGTTTGACAATCCGTTTAGAGCTTATGCAACCGATTCGGTCAAACAGATGGGTGATTCTTTGTAGTTTAGTTAGACTCCCACGTTGTGTAGAGAATTCGATGAGAATAAACGGACTGGCCACTTTAGACCTAACTGTCAACAACGATGGTGTGACATTTTCGTAAATTCATCCTACGCTCCCCAGTTATGACCGCCTCTGTATGAGATTACCTGGTTAACTTGAAGCCGTAACACACGATGTCTAGAATGTTCGAGCAAAGTTCATTCCGTGAGAAACGCACAAATGGACCATTTAGTTCCGCTGGGGTGTTGCAGGCGGCGCATCGGTGCTAACAATCGAAAAACTGCAGTCGTTCAGCTGTAACACCCTTGACGTGCCATGCCACCCGAAAGAACCGCGGGGGCTGAGAAATACTGTCAGGTTGCCAAAACCTACAGAGAAGCAGTAAATTTGCTGAGAATGGGTTCGAATCATGGGCCTCCGGCCAGTAATTTCGCGTCTTAATCAATGAATCATCGCGACATTCGATAATTGGTAATGATTTAATAGATAAGTGGTAGTAATAATGACAGGAAACAATCAAATTCAGGGTGTGCTATCAGCAACAGTGTATTTGGTGTAAACAAAAGGGAGACTTTCGAATCATAAAGATGGAGCATCTGCCTTAGGCGACAGTGGCTTGTGTTTCGGAGAGAACGTGTATTTGATTGGCCAGTTCACAGCTCGGATCTGTTCGAAAGCTTACGGGGAATAGGGCGAGATGGCTCAATTGGTTAGAACGTGAGTTTGCTAACCGGAAGGTCTGTGGTTCGAACCCGAGCTCTGCCTCTGGACTTTTCTGTCTAGGTTTGGGCAACCTAGCAGTATCTCAGTCCTCGTGCTTCCTTCGGGTTGCATGGTAGCGAGGCACCGAAAGGGTGTTACAGCTGAACGAGTTTTTATGGGAAATAATGTCAGGGCGGGTATACGCTATCGACCGTGTGGAGGACCTCATGGCGGTGCTCGTATCGCGAAAACAATACAATCTCAAAGTTTATATGATTGGTACAAAGAAAGGTGGAACCAGTAGTGGGCTGTTCAGAGTACTCATCGATCTTAAGAAATTTGATATCTCGACTACTGCTTCCCCAAAAAAACCTAAAAGGTGTCCCTTGTGCAGCACATTCAGTTAGAGAATATTACGCACGATACGTCCCAAATTAATTTGCTAACGAGTACTTCTAGCAACCTAAGTACAATTTGGTGTTCAGTTGTAAATGATAAGTGACGGAGATTGGACGAATACCTGAACGCCCAACCGGTAGTGGGCTGTCGAAGTGTTTACACCGACCTTGTGGATGGTTTCCTGTCAAGCAATTGGGAGCTGTTGGATTAATTTACCGGAACTGAAACTAGGAACTGGGGAAGATGGAAAACAGAAAAATAGCCTATCGTCTGCGATGTCAGTTTTGGTTGGATGAACCTCACGGCCCTGCTAAAGATGGCGATATATTAAACTGATCGATTGGTCGACTTCTATTTCCACAACAAACTGCTGTTGGTTTTCGACCCCACGCTCCCTACGCACATTATATCGGCCTCACAGACGAATCGGCTAAAAGACCTCCAGGACCATGCTTATTGAAATCGGTCTTTATGTCAAATTCTACGTTCGATGAACTTAGACTGACAAGCTTGACAGCGTTGCCGTCGGAAGTTTGTGCCCCCAACCTTTTGTGCTATGATTAATCTGGTTGGGCCATACCAGAACTAACACCGAATTGAGTTCTTAGTAAAGTACATCAAGAAGGACGTGTCCCCAGACACCATGACAGAAGTAGAACAGATAAGAGAAAGCTGGCTAGAGACCTAACACCCCGGACCGCATTCGCCGACTATTGTGACAGTCTACAAGGGGTAACACAAGTTCAATAAACAAGTTGGATGTGGAAAAGAGATAGCTTAACTCAAATTTCCGACAGTGATGAGATGAAAAAAATCACACAAGATTCACTATGGCGCCTTGATCTTCAGGCGCATAGATGAAGGCTGTCACATTGGTGAACACTTCCTCAGCCAGAACCACCACAAAATGAAAAAGATGGTCCCTCAGCTGTTTTTTTTTGTTACAGTGGGCCTAGTAGCAGCGAAGCTTAAGTGAGCATCAACAACAGGAGTGGGACAATCATACCTCAAGCTTCAAATGCTCAAAATCTTCCGACCGAGAAGCTTTCGGCCGGTGACCTCTGTTGCTACGAAACAGTCCCAGAGAGAACCACCTGTGCTTGCCGGATGCCTTCAAGGGAGTGCTGGAATCCCCGACTTGGAAAAGACTACTCTGGGACGGATCGCTCGAAGTGCTCGCACCCATGAGCGAAGAGGTGAGATTATTCAACGGAGGTCTAGCTGGGGATTGGGGGCTCTGTCGTGAGGCTGAGAGTTGTGAAGCGACGTGTTCCGATGATCGTATCCCTGCCTCATTGGACAGGTTCGATGTCAGTCGGCTGCCTGAAAGAAAAGAAAGGGAAGATGACAAGAGGGGGAGTCGAAAAGCATGATTACGCAAACAGTGCCAGGAGAAGCGGGTGGTAACGAAAAAACAGAGCACAGATTCGAATTCGGCTAGCAAGGAAGATAAGTGAGAGATCCAGCAAAATGCCACCAACATCCGAGACTTTATAGTTCAAAAAAGGAAGAAAGTGTTGGATCAATATACTGGGACCCGACCCAGTCAAGGCATCCACGTGATGGATCTGAAAAGTTCGTGCGATGGTGTTATGCCATGGATCTACACTGTCGCTGTAAAATCGTTTTACGTACACAAGTCCGTCATTGGGTCTACTACGGATATGCATGATGACATCTTCGAGTTGAACACAGATTGGTTGCGGCTGTGATTGGATACCTCTCGTAGCTGTTGGTAAGTAACCGATCCTAGGGGTGAGCACTTTAACACTTCCTATTCGGATTCGGCTGGTCTGTCGTTCTGCGTTGGGCCCGTGAACGGCGCCGAGTCAAGCCCACCGACACATCTGTTTGGCAGTATAAGATTCGGAGATCTTCAACTGGGCTTTCGTTCTGCAAATGAAACCAGTCTGTGCCAGAAAGCCTGGACGCACTGTACACCTGTTTCATCCTCGTTGGGAATTATCAGCAGTGCTCAGGAATATCCTCCGGGGCCATTCAAACTGGCGAATTCCCATCCGGCAGTTGAAGACTTAAAACCGTCCTAACATGAACGGCTGGTCAGCGATGTAAATGACCTACACTTAGACAGGATATAGCGCCAATCATATCTGCTTATTTTACTACTCTCTTAAGACGCGGCTACGTCGATCGCGATTTTTTATCTAGGGATCTAAGGCTTTGTGAAATAGGTTCCCACCGTCCCTATTTAGTTTCAAGTTTTACGCGAGATTCTTTCAGCAGGCGTTGACGATGATTAGAGCTTGAGAAAACTGTCCCAATAAGCCTTCCAAGGAGAAATTCACGAGAAATATCCCGGGAAGACCCAACAGCATCGAGTACAGCGGTTTGCACGATAAGAGCAGGAAACTCAGATAACTAAAGCTGGCAGCTGAAACGGTTGAAGATATCTTGGACTTATAGGTCATTCAATTTGGGCGGAATGGACTCATGGCATCAATGAGTGATTCGCCCTGAACACAAGTCGAAGAGTGATAAAGTTTTCGGCTAAACACATTCTCAACACACATAACAAAGCACCAGAGTATGGCAAAAGCAAGAACCGGATAACAGGTAGATATACTGTTTTGAATGGGCCATACACGCCACACCCAGATTCATACAAGGAGGGTTAACGGGTGAGATCAGATAAACCAACAACAGACCTTTGATTTGGTCTCCGAAGGAGCGACTTCGACTCCTTTGAGTTGATGGCTGTTGCTCCAAGCCAACGCCGTTGCTTCCGTCCAACGGCCATAGTTCCGTGGGTGCAGACATAAACTGCGCCAACTGTTCTGTGGACAAAGCGGTGCACTGAGCCACTGGTGGGGCGGAATCGTTTACCGGCATCTTCCTCTCACTCTGCCATCTTTTCACACCCTGTGTGGATGACTGTTGACACAAGGGGTTAATTGGCGACGGGGATGAGACGAAATGAGGAGCCCCTTCCAACGGGTGAGCACGAGTAGCTAATTTACAGCGAGGGTGAAACCAGAGCAGAATAGGGTAGGTGGTGTAAATGGTGCGGTTAGTTTGAAGATGTCAGAGCACGGTGCGACGGATTTGGTTAAAAATAACCGCACATTACGTGTGAGTCGCACGAACAAATTCGAAAAGTTGGGGGTAATGGAAGGATGCATCTAAAAACAAACTAACCTTGAAGGCGACCACGATCGTCCTGACAATCCACAGTGCGCGATGATGCGAACAGATCTGCCTATAAGTGAGAAAGCCACAAAAGGGAGAACAACAAAGGATGCCGTTGGGATAGCGGCCAGACAAAGAATAATCCGGTAAACTATGGATTACATGATAAAACCAATGCCATCGGGTCACTTAGTTTACATCAACCCAATGGTAGTTAAATAAGCCACATTGGTCCCGCTCATTACGAACAAAAATCTGTCTATTTGTGAATACAGATTCCTAGAAAATGTGTATGTACCAACGACGTCCACGTGACCGTGTGTGTAGGGAGAACCCGACCGAGCACGATTGTTGTCTGATGTCGGGGATACACGATGGCGGCAAAAGCAGAAAGTTCCACCATCGGGAATTCTTGATGAAGAGAGACGTAACTGTGATCTTCCCCGGGTGGTAGTCGAAAGAACAATGTACAGTGGCAAAAAAACACAGCAGTCAGGAGAAACATACTCGGGCGGTAAACTGATAGGCTAAAATCTTCTGCAGGGACATCAATTGTCACGACGAAATGAGAAAAAGCGAGTCATGTGTCGTACGGAGGAGCCGACGTATCTCATTGGAATCTACCATAATCAGGATATCAAAAACAGCTGTGTTCGAATACAGAGGTCGTTAGAACGAAAGTGAGATGATGAACGAGTGCCATCAAATTGTCCAATGTGATGATTCCAGATGATGTGTCATGAAACCCCGATAAATGTTGCCTTTCTACTTCAAGGACTTCAGAAACTTGGAAGTACAAATTGTCCCCAAAGAGTAATAATCAACGATCCAGCGGACAGGGAGTTGTCTAGGTTTCACTGAACCAATCACTGCTGGAAGACGAGATAAAACAGTACTGAGGAGACTCACATGCAAAATCAACATGAACTTGGCGCGCACATCACCCAGCATCTTTGTCCGAGGCATCCACCTATCACCGGGCTCACCGGCGTGGCAATCGATAAGCAGAACGTGCTGCGACTTCGTGGGGGTCTCACCGTAAGTTGGTAACGGTAAAACCGCGTGTCCGAAAAGATGGGTAGACGGAGCTGTGGTAAAGAGGAACATTGCGTAGAAAGTTAGGCCAGTGAGGTGGCAAACGAATAAACGGTTGGTAATGTTTTGGAATATTGGTAGCTCGGGTGTATTGGTTGGTAATTGATCAGGTGGCTGTTGATCTGTCCGCCGAGCTTGGCAATTGATTTGCAAACTTTTCGTCACCGTTCGAGGAGACATCTTCAGTGCGCTGTTGGTTGAGGTTATCTTAGGTTATCTTAGGTGAATCAACCCCGCTGTCCCGATTGTACTTTCCACATAGGAGAAAGTGGACTACCTATTACCGCTCTGTCACATACAGCTGACCCTGGCAGGAAGAAGGCGCATTGTGAACAGCGCACGACCATGTTGACTCATGCTTTTGGGATACCACAAGCGGAACCCATCGACCGCTAGATAACCGTAATAACAGAGTGAAACTAAGCAGCCAAGGATATCGCTGGATTTACTCGCTTGTCCTTCATTTCTAGACCCCTGTTCGCACAATGTTGATCTTAGGCTTTTGCGGTCGGAATCCAAACGCCAAACCAACTAACCTGGTTCAACCACTCAAGCGTAGAACATTTCAAACTCGGCCAGGGGGAACTCAACACATGGACATCTAGTCAATATCGTATGCGATATCCCGTGAATCGTTTCGAATAGCACAGCAACGTTTACAGACACTGACTGGTTACCCCACAACATAAACCTCCGCTTCATAAAACTGAAGATAATGAGTAAGGCTAGGTGTTTTCATTTTGAACGATTCGCTTATAATGAATGGGTAGACACAATGGATCACCATCATCCATGCCCGCGGACCAGAATCAAAATCGATACAAGTACAAGTCGACCAAGATCCTCCGCAACCCACATCCTGAACGACCAGACTTTGGAAAAACAAAGTGTGTACCGGTGTGGCTTTGAAGTGCGTCTAACCAATTTCTCGAATAGTACCAGTTACTGGGAAGAGTAAAGAAATGATAGACTGTAAAAAAGGCATACAATAGAATGCGTAACTAAAGCCTGGCAGCGAATAAACTGGTTCATGTGAAGGAGATCAGCCGCACACATTCCTGATTAAGAGTGTATTTCACGTGATGCCCTAAGCGCACCACATAAATGTCAGAAAATTGAGCACGTGGATGTAACAGGAAAGATGCTTCTGGTTGTTAGTAGACGAACTTGGTGTGCACATGCAACCGTTTTGTTATCTTAGGTTATCTTAGGTGAATCAACCCCGCTGTCCCGATTGTACTTTCCACATAGGAGAAAGTGGACTACCTATTACCGCTCTGTCACATACAGCTGACCCTGGCAGGAAGAAGGCGCATTGTGAACAGCGCACGACCATGTTGACTCATGCTTTTGGGATACCACAAGCGGAACCCATCGACCGCTAGATAACCGTAATAACAGAGTGAAACTAAGCAGCCAAGGATATCGCTGGATTTACTCGCTTGTCCTTCATTTCTAGACCCCTGTTCGCACAATGTTGATCTTAGGCTTTTGCGGTCGGAATCCAAACGCCAAACCAACTAACCTGGTTCAACCACTCAAGCGTAGAACATTTCAAACTCGGCCAGGGGGAACTCAACACATGGACATCTAGTCAATATCGTATGCGATATCCCGTGAATCGTTTCGAATAGCACAGCAACGTTTACAGACACTGACTGGTTACCCCACAACATAAACCTCCGCTTCATAAAACTGAAGATAATGAGTAAGGCTAGGTGTTTCCATTTTGAACGATTCGCTTATAATGAATGGGTAGACACAATGGATCACCATCATCCATGCCCGCGGACCAGAATCAAAATCGATACAAGTACAAGTCGACCAAGAACCTCCGCAACCCACATCCTGAACGACCAGACTTTGGAAAAACAAAGTGTGTACCGGTGTGGCTTTGAAGTGCGTCTAACCAATTTCTCGAATAGTACCAGTTACTGGGAAGAGTAAAGAAATGATAGACTGTAAAAAAGGCATACAATAGAATGCGTAACTAAAGCCTGGCAGCGAATAAACTGGTTCATGTGAAGGAGATCAGCCGCACACATTCCTGATTAAGAGTGTATTTCACGTGATGCCCTAAGCGCACCACATAAATGCCAGAAAATTGAGCACGTGGATGTAACAGGAAAGATGCTTCTGGTTGTTAGTAGACGAACTTGGTGTGCACATGCAACCGTTTTAATGGTGAGAAACTTCCCGGGGCTTCAATGAAAATTGTTAGGCGAGATTCTACACGGAACCGCTTTACCGCTCGCAGTCAGGTGCTACTACGGCCGAGAAGCCCATCCCACGCAAGATTGGCAAAAACCTCGGGAGGCTTGCCAGTCCGGCATCAAGCCAAGATCTGAATTGTCGAAAGCCTGGACCCAACAGCCAATCATTGTCCAGTACTGGCCGAATGCCGGTTGCCAATGACGCATCCAGAACGAGTCAGCAGTTCCAGAAAGTTACTGCCGCCTACGATTTATATATGGAGCGCTGTACAGGTGTTCCTGACCTCGTTTTGGGCGTTATTATACCTTGTACACCTTTGGTGGTTGTTTTGACGTAAACGCTAGCGGAGGCTCAGCCGAGAACTAAGCCGGAAAAAATACCGTTGCTACAAAAACAATAACAGCGTAGAGGATTTTTATTGCGATCCCTCGCCTAGTTGACGTGGAATTACGCGGGCAGAGGTCGTAAGAACGGCATGCATTGAATGCCTAAAACGATGAAGCTCAAAAGGGTCTGACAGAATAGATTTTGTACTGTAAAGTGAATCAGCTGATTCTAATGAGACACAACAAACTTGTGTGAAGATTGGATTGCTCGGGGTTGTTCCCGGGCACATACTAAATCCGTTAATACCAGGTAGGCTCATGTGGCTGTTTAGGTCCGTTGTTCCCAAGCGTTTTTGAACTAGGTTTGCAAAGTTAAAACAAACCATATGTCAGTATTATGGGTCCACAGGCGACCAAACTCATCAGAAATAAATCTCAGCATTTAGAGGACAGTACTCTCACCATGGAAAACCTTAAGAAGGGAAAAGTGAGCGCGATAAAAACCATAGGACCATTTCGTCGTACAATCAACAGAGACTTGGGCGATACTTTACAGCATTCTCCTCTCAAAGACTTTGGAAATCACTTCGCTTTACTTTCAATGATTGTGTGAACAAATAACGTTTTGACTAGACTTCCGTGTCACAGTCCAATCTTCCGATTTCGCAACTAAACACTTCGAGTCCCTACTGACTGAGGTGGACGTATTTCGTACAGGCACGAGGCTCGTAGACAAACATTCCCCCCATCACTTATGAAGATAGGTCTCAGCCGCCAATTCCAAGTAACCAGTTCAAGATAAGTGTATGAGGACGGACTGCCTTTCTGCGTTTTATCGCAGTTTAGTGTTCTGGCCGCCTCTCGCGTTTTGCGAACGTGTCTCATGTCATCTTAGACAATATACAGTGCAATATTGAGGTTGATATGCTCGTAATTCAAGCGAAAGCCTGATTACGTTGTTACGAAATCACCTGCTGACGGTTCCGTATGTGGGCAGGTGCCTGTTAGCCAGTTCCACATGATAGACGAATGAAATTTAAGTCGTACAATCACCCTTAACACCATAGATTGATTCCAGCAATCTGTTGAACCACGTCGAGTTACGCGCAAAACCCCAAAAGCCAAGTCTTTCAAATGGAGGTTTGTCTACAGATGCGGTACTATAAGTACAATAATAAAATGATAAAGCTTTACAAACCTCAAATCGTGGGACTATGCCGGCTTCTATACACCGGTTTAGGAACTGCTAATTCCTAACGGGTCTCAAAGTCCACGTTGAACCTGTCCTTTCGTCGAATTCACCTTTGTTGTCATCAGCAATCCTTCGTAGGGCATAGGCAGCGCGAAACAGGGACGAGGTGGCTCCAAACGGGTGCACGTTAAGGTGATAGACATCTGGGGATTTGTTCAGATTGGCGCCAGTGTACCACAGAAAACCGAACGCCTCCCTATCCTCCAGTGGCAAGCGCACTTGTAAGAACATCTCTTCTATATCTGCAGACAAAGCAGTTGCGTGAAGTCGGAAACGCATCAAAACGCCGATGATATCGTTTGTCAGGTCAGGTCCGGAGAATAAGCAGTCGTTAAGGGAAAGGCCCTGACCTTTGGCAGCGCAGTCGGAAACTATACGAAACTTTCCAGGCTTCCTGTGGTTGAAGACCGGATGATACGGGATGAAGCGCAAACCTTCTGTTGAACCAACTAGCGACCGACTTACATATCCTTTTCTTTCGTAGGTAGTTAGGGTCTCAGTGTAGTGTCTAAGGAGGCCTTCATCCTTCAACAATCGGCCTTTCAAATAACTGAGCCGTTTCTCCGCTACATTTAGGTTACTATGCGGGTTACTCCAGTTGACCTTCCAAGGCAGCGGCACATGGTAGTGGCCGTCCAATAAGCTTACAGACTGCTCTGTGGTTTTCATAATCTCCTTGTCTTCAAGGATAGTGATTTATCTGTACTTTTACTTTCGTTGAAATCCGATTCAAACATCCTCAATATGTGGTCCTCAATAGTAGGTTCTGTGCTGAGGCAATTCGCTGACATTCGTTTGGGTCCTGGGGGAGGAACTGGTCTGAAAATTACCCATCCCAAGGCCGTTAGATATGCGTAAGGATGTTTCGGAGAACCCAAACGTTGCTCGATAACCCAGTGGGCCTCTGGGACATTGGTTCCAA